ACACCATGCGCGCCGCCTGCGAGCTCGGCGCGATGCTGGCCATGTTAAAGGGTACAGCCGTGTAGGCGACCGCACGCCGCAAGACCTCGGCCCGCCCCTCTCCGGCGGCCGAATAAAGCGCTCCGCCCACACCCCGCTCCCCGCGTTCCTCTCTCGCGGCGCTTCCGGCGCGGTGACGTCATAACCCGGGCGACACGAACCAGCCGCGCCCCCTTGCGACCGCACCGCGGCGCGGCGCTGGGAGGGACGGAATAAGGGAACGAGCGAAACCCCGCGGCAGCGGATTGGGTGGGGCGATCTCGCGAGAGCGTGGTTTTTCCGGTTCCTCCCCGGCGGCCGTGCTGGTGGTGCTCACTTCCGGGTGTCGCGTGCGTGTGGGCATCAGTGCGGGCCGGGGGCGGATCGGGGCGCCGCTGGGCCAGAGGCGACTTTGAGAGCGATTTGGTTTGGGGACCGAGGTCCAGGTAGCCAGGTCCAGGGCTTGGAACCAGTTCCAACAGGTAAGCCCTGAGACAGGGCGCAGGGCCCAGCCCGAAGGCACATCCGGTGGCACGAGTCAACGGGGCAGAGGTAACTTCCGTTACAAGGCAAGCATTGGATGCGCACCAAAGCAGGTGGCGTCAAGCCCCCAAGCCCTTCCTGACTCCCAGTCGCTGGGGAAACCTGGATTCTCTGAAAACTCTTCAGCTTTCACCTATCTGCTCTAACCTGAGCTGGAGTCCACTTTGTGCCTGTAACGCAATGCAGTGTGCCACAAGGCAGCAGAGCAGCACGATCCCAGGCCACAGCGAGTGTGGACTTGCTCTGATCTGAAGAAGTAGAGCACGACGTATTTTGTAACTTGTCCTTAGAAACAGCTGCTTTGGAACAGTAGAAATAACGTATATTCTAATGGTATCTGTTAGAAAGATGGTTGTTGAATAATGTGATTAATTCTCACTTGCACAACTGCAGTAGTTATTAAATGTTGCGAATAGCATGGGTATAGTATTGTAGACTGGAAAGCAGGTTGTAAGGCTGTTCTGCTTTGATGAGTGACCCTCAGCAAAAGAATAGCAGGCTTACGAAACATTGAAAAATGGCCTCCGTGGCCTCCAAACAAGGCCGAATTGTCTCACTCTGGCATTAGGTTGGGATGCAACAGACAGAAATCAGGATACTCTCCTCTATCCTCCTTGTAAACTTATCCCTATCCATTGATGACCAGATGTCCAGAAATAATGGCCGAGTGCTTAGCGAGCACTATTTTGAGTACTTTATTTAGTGGGTACTATAGTACTACTATTTAGTGAGTACTCTTGGCGATAGGTAGATGGTTGGGCTGGATGATCTTGAAGGTCTTTTCCAACCTTGGTGATTCTGTGATTCTGTGAAAGCAAGAGGCATTCACTTGGT